CGGCACGGTGCGGTTCCTGGTGAGCTCATCGTCTGCCTGCAGCAAAATGATGATTTGATGATTTTTCACGTGCCGGCAAAACCCGGCGCTGCCCTGAGGAGCTTTCCATACAGTGACGCTGAATAACGCACTCGGGTCCCTTCCCGGCACACGCCGGCCTTTCTTCCCCTCCGTGCCGTCCCTGCGGGTCAGGAGGGTCAAAGCCAGTGTCCTGCCTTACACCACCTTCCTGCCTGCTTTCTGGGTGGGCAACCTGCTGGCTTTTTGGGCAATCTGCCTTTCCCCCCATCCCTACCTGCTCATCCCGTTCCCTTCCACCATCCCTTGGCCACCCCGCAGATCTGCATGCGAGCCCTGCCTGTTCCCCGCCTGCTCCCACCTTCCCGTGGGAGCTGCGCGTGCCAGGAGGGTTTGGCAGAGCCACAGTCCACACCAGGCATCACCCGGGAGAACCATCTGCTGCTTCCAAGCCACCCTTTTCCAAGGTAACATCCTTAACGGCCCCATCCAGCGGGGATCTGGAGGTCACCGTGGATTTCCTCACCGAGGTGGACAAGCTGGTGCAGCTCATCGAGTGTCCCATCTTCACGTGTAAGGAGGAAGCGGGGCGTGGGGAAAGGGGTGGTGCTCCCCCACCTCCCTGCTCTTCCATCGCGAGCAGAGAATAAATAGAGCAGAAGTTATGAGACTTCTTGCCGGGAGGTTTGCCCAGCACTGGAGCCAGCACGGCGGGGGGAGGCTGCTCCCCCCACACACACACGCACACCCCCCCCAGATATAGGTTAAGGGAACGAGCGGTGCTGGCAGCACACAAAGGGGTGGGGGAAGGATGGATGGGGAAGCCTTGATGGTGCTCAGCATCTCCAGGGGGGCACAGGTTGGGTGACAGATGCAGGGAGCCATGTGTGCCACACTTGGAGACATGGGGTGGCATCGTGGGTGCTGCTAAGGCTCTTAGGAGGAAAAAAAATGGGGTTTCTTAGCAAGAAAAAAGGGATTTTTTCTGGAAATGGAGAATTAAGCCCTAAAAAAAACAGAATGTCTTCTCTGATCCCCATCATGGGCCTGGCCAGGGGCTCAGGGACGTGGTGGTGGGAGCTGGGATGGAGAGGGGGACATGGTGGGGTGACGCATGGCTCTGGGGTTTTGGGGGTTCTTATGATGATGTTCGGCTGCCCCTGGGCTCCTTCTCCCTGGAGGTGGAGCTGGGTGTTGGGAGATGTCCCAGTGTCCCAGAAACAACTTTGGGAGGGGACTCTGTAGGTCCAGAGCTCTCGGGGGGCAATATTTGGGGGAGTATTTGAGGGAAGAAGGTTAAAGCAGCCAGGCAATGGAGATATGGTCACACTTCCTCCTGTGGTGCTCTGTGCTTCATCCTGAGGATGACGTCCCTTCCCCGAGGTGATTTTTCCACAGCCCCAAACAACTCCTTGAGGGTTTCCCACCCTGCTCACCTTAATCTCCAAGTCTTAGGGTGAAGGACAGACATGCCCCCATAGAGCAGCATCCCTGGGCATGGGTCCCTTCACAGGGAGATGCCAGAGGTGCTGGTGGCAACCAGGAGGTGAGATGCTGGGGCATGGGCCTCTCGCCCCATCCCCTGGGCTGCCCCAGGTGGGACCTTGGTTTTCTGTAGGGCTCTGGAAGGCTCTTCCACCCCTGAGCACCATGAGGGATGGAGCAGGAGGGTGGTTTCCCCTCTGCTGAGGAACACCAAGACCTAACACACGTAACCATCAGGGCTGAGCGGAGAGGACACCTTCCACGCCAGAGAGTCCCCAGGAGAGTGTCACCCAGCACTCCTGGTGCTCCAGGAGGGTATTTCTGCTAATTCTGTGGAAGCTGAGGAGCAATCTCATGTTGCACGTGTGTCCTCAGGCAAAGAGCATGGATGGGCTCAGGGATGAGCGGCAGCAGGGATGGGAGACTGGGGAGCTGCTGCCGCCTTCACCAGCTGGCAGCTGGGAGCTGTGGTGGGGAGAGGGGCTTCTGGCCTGTGTGGGACACAAAGATGATGAGTTAATGGAAGGGGAGAGGCTGCTGGTGCCATGCAGGTGCCTCTTGGGTCGGTTAAATAGTCCCCAAGACAATCAGGTGGATTGGGAGGAACCTGCTGTTGGGGTTGGAGGCGAAATGCATTTAACCCACCTCCCCATCCTCTTCCTCTCCTCTTCCAGATCTCCGCCTGCAGCTGCTGGACGTGAAGAACAACCCCTACCTGATCAAGGCTCTCTATGGGCTGCTGATGCTGCTGCCCCAGAGCAGCGCCTTCCAGCTCCTCTCCCACCGCCTCCAGTGCGTGCCCAACCCCGAGCTCATGCAGACCGCGTAAGTACCGCTGGGACCAAGCTCCAGGACCCCCAACATCGGGGGCTGGACACGCCGTCCCCCCGCCACCGAGCATCCCCACGATCCCAGGCTCGGCCCCATGTTCTTTCACCCTCCAGCTCCTCTGCGGCCGCGGTTGCTCCTTGCCCCGTGGCCGGGAGCGTTGGCTCGGGGGGTTTTTTGTGTCTATATTTGGTAACCCTGGGAGGGCTGTGCCTCATCCACAGGCATTTGGCATCCAGGATGGAAAATTTCACTTGTGAGGTCGCTATGGAAACGAGCAGAGCTGGGAAGGAGGTTTACGGAGAAAGAGAGAGAAGGAGACGCCGGCAGCTGAGGGTGCTCCCAAAGTGTGCCCCCCCCACTTAGCCAGCCTTCACAGCACCCAAAAGGACCCTGTCACCTGTGCACACCTGGGGCTGGCTGCTCCATCCCCACCCCTGGCTTTCGGGGAGCCACCAGCAGTGATGTGCAAGGGTGACATCTCCCTGGGGTCCAACCGAAATCCTCCTGCTCCCTGCCCAGGGATGCTGCCCACCCGGCTGGTTAGACACCAGCAGTGCTATTTGCTCTTGAGCCCTCAGCTAATGAGCAGGGAAGGTGGATGTTAAAGCTGGATCTGCCTTTGTAAAGCCCTGGGAATAAAAAAACCAAAGCTCCTAAGCGCAGGTTTCTGAATGAACCCCCCACCAATGCCACTCCTTGGCTTTTAACCACTCTCCTGGGTTGCCTTTTATCCCTCGTGGCCTCCAGCGCTGAGCTCAGCCCCACAATCCAGCACTGATTTTAATTGGGGGGGGGCTACATGTGCTTCCTTCCCCCTTTTTCCCCCTCCCCTTTAGCCCCCACAGTGGGGTTTTTTCCGAGTAACTGATGTTGTCAGACGGCCTGAGCGTCTGATTAATTCTGACCTACATTCCTTCAAACACCCAAACCGGCTTTTTATGACAGCCCAGCCCCAGCTGCCCCCTCCCCATGGGGATACCGAGGCTTCAAAACCCACCTGCCATCCTCCCCCATGTCCCCTGATGGGCATCCCATGGCTGGTCCCTGCTGTCCCTTGTGTGGGGACAGCTCTTGGGGGATGAGGACCCCGTGGTCGGAGTCCCGGGGAGCCCACAAATGGGGCTTTAGCCAACCCCGGGGCTTGTCCCCCGGTGCTGTCCCTACTGCCACCAACCCTCCTCTGTGTCATAGCACATGGACATTTTCCACTTGCTCCTAAAACCAGGCAGGGAAACTGAGGCACGTGGCACTGGCATCTTTTCTGACCAGTCTCGCTGCTTTTGTCCAGAATGGGTTGGGACAGAGGGGAGTATCCATGCCAGAGGGGTTAAACCTCCCCTTACGAGGGGGGTGCCAGGATGTCCCTTGTCCCCTCTGTCTTGTCCTAGGACTTCTCAGGCTCCGTCTCATATCTTTGGGGAAGGGAAACTGGGGTTTGGGGGTGTTTAATGGGACACCAGCATCACTTGGGTGTGGTGGGCTGGGCTTTTTCAGGACAAGCCTTTGGTGCTGCTTGTGATGGATCATCTCCTGCTCCTTCCTACCTTCACGCTCTGCTCTCTCTCCGTTAGGGACAGCACCAAACCCAGCACTGGCTTCAAGAGAGTGACATCCTCCAACATCGACTACACGGAGCTGCTACAACACTTTGAGAAGGTCCAAAACAAGCACTTGGAAGCGCGGCATCAACGAGCTGGGCGAGCGGAGCAGCTGGATCGGCGAGTGGTTCTCTGAGCATCCCCACAGCAGCCACGGGTGTGCACGGTTGCTGGGGCAGGGACCAGGGGACACAGACCAGGGGACCAGGGGACACCGGTTGCTGGCCACTGGAGGATGCAGTGGGTTTGATGGCAGAGGGAGACGGGTGAGCACTCAGCGTGGGGCAGGTTTTCCTCCCCATTGTGTGTGTTTGTGGATAGTTGGGGACACCCAGGCTGTGCCTGGTTTCTCCCATGGGTGATATGGGGAGGTGGGGAAGGGTTGTGGGAGGAGAGGGTCAGGGGAAAGCGCTTCGTCTTCTCTTGCAATAGGGCGAGGAAACTCCCCTTTGCTTTGCTAATGCCTTCCCCGTGACTGTCAGCTGAGCGCCCAGCCTCCCGCCA